ATTCTATCACATTTACCCCTTCGCCTTTGTGATCTGGGAGGGAGTTGTTGCGGACATTTGGTCCAGCCTCTTTTGCTTGTATAACCTTAGTGTCAATCAACGTCTGGATATTATCCTTGAAAGTGCGACATTCATCCATAGTATGTCCCTTCATGCCCTAGTGGTAGGCACATGTGTTGTTTGGATTGACCTACTGAGATGGATTTTCCATGGCAATGACGGGAATAGGAGTGACATAACTAGAAGCCTTCAATCTTTCATACAACTTATCGATGGGTCCAGGAATAGGATTGTATTGTCTAGGTGGTCAACGGTCAAAATTTGGTTTGGGTTTTTGTTAGTTTTGGTGAGCTGGTGGTGGTGAGTGGCAATATGCAGGTTGGGTGTTATAGGTATGGTAAGTGGCGGTGGGTTATTGGTATCTGGGAGGTGAAGGCTGATATGTGGATGGTGGTGTTTGGTATGTGAGGTGAGACTACAGACCTTTGGGCTACCATTATGGCACCAACTTCTTTCTTTTTAGAGATACCCCCAACTACAAGGCTTTGTTTGTAGCCTGCAGTGCCTCAAAATTTATCACCATTCCATTTTTAATTCCTTCCTCTATCCTTTCTCCTAGTTTGATGATATCAGAGAACTTATGGTTTTCAATGACCATCAACCTCTCATAGTATTGTGGATCTTCAGCTTTGACGAAAAACTTATTCATATGTTCTTCTTCTAGTGCTGGCCTTACCTTTGTAGTTCTGACCTCCATCGAGTAGCATACTCGTGGAAAGTTTCTGTTGGCTTCTACTTAATATTCTAAATATAGAAGACGTCTGGCACATTTTTCATATTGAACCTGAATTGATCCATAAAATCTGACGCCATGCTTACCTAGTTAACTCATTTCTTTAGGTTTTGACTGATGTACCAAGACAGGGCGTTTCCAGTGAGGCTCCTCATGAATAACTTCATGTGGATTCTTTCATCTTTATCAACCCCTACGAGCTTGTCACAATATATTCTCAAATGTACCTTCGGATCACCTGTCCCGTCGAACAACTCGAACTTAGGAGGTTTGTAACTCTCTAGTAGTTCTAAGTCTGGTTGAATACACAAATCTTCATAATTTAGACCTTCTATGCTTTTACCGCCTTCAATACCCTGAACTCGACTAGTAAGCTTCTAAAGCTCCTCTACCATGTGCTTGCTGAGCAGGTCCTTCTCGGTGGACTCTGGTATGTATAAGGTCTGTTGTGGAGTGTGGGGTAAGGTTTCTATGTATATGGGATTGCTTTGATGGACTCTAGGAATTTGGGCATAGTGGTGGTCGTTGGTTGAGTTCTGAGGATCTGAGGTAGGTTGTGGTGCATTTTGAGGAGTGTCGTAGGTGGTGGTTTGTGGATATTGAGTTGGATGATGATGATGTTGTAGAGGAGTCGGTACTGGTGGAGGATTGGGGTTTTGAGGAGGTGTGGCATATTGGTAAGGTGCGGGAGGATTTTGTTAGTTTTGTGTGTTTTGGCGAGGTGCTGGGTTTTTAATGTTTTGTTAGTTGACGTTGGGGACGTTAAGCGTAAGGGAAAGGTTTTTCAAGTTCCGGACCTACTCAAATTCCTTTTGTAACTCTAGTATCTTTTGTTCTAACCTTAAAACCAAGTCATTCTGTGCCGGAGTACTCTGACCATCCAAAGTCTCGACGTTCTCCTCATGCGTAGCGTTGTCTTTTCTGTTATTGCTTGTATCATCCATTCTGGCTTTTACTTTGCTTTTAGGATCACTTGGAGGAGGAGGAGGTGGAGGACCTTACGATCTAGTATGATATGCCGATGATGCCAGTATGCACAAAACAACCTTTGGGGATGGGAATAAACAAATAAAGAAAAGAAGAAAACAAAAAGGTAAACAAGTCAGTGAGGAGTATTAAAAAGATGTTTGTAGTATGGAAACACATATTGTGAAATTTTAAATTTGCATCCTAATTTGGGGACCTCATTGTGCCCGAGGTAGACCTAGGCGACATATAAATTTGGAGAAAACCGATGCCAATAACCGCGTCATTTCATTAATATGAAAAATAAACCAAATCTCTACTAAAACGACAATAATTATAAAGAGTCACTAATGGCAGCTGCCTTATTACAACCAAAGCCTAAAACGAGTCTAGAAAGCAAGTAAAACATAACCCATAATCTATTTGGTCCTAGAGGGACCTTCTCCATGCTTGGCCTTCTTTGCTCCATCGATCAGATTCCCAAGGTCGCGCATGTCCAACAGTAGATAGGCCCTTGCTAAGAGCCCTCCTTCATTGCCATCAATGTTTTGACAACCTGCAACCTTGTTTCTCATCTTCCCTTCAAGCTCCATACCCCTAATCTAAATATTCGAACCTCTCCGTTGACTTAGTAGTGATTTCTCTCCACTCGTTAATTGCTTCCATGTCCGCTTTATGTTGTTCCAAATGCCTGGCTTCAGACTCGAATACCCTTTTACGCAACATCCTATATTTGACTTGTTCTTCAACAGCGTCATCTATAACCTTATTCTTTATATTAATCATGGCTTGACATCCCCCGCTAAACCATGATGGATAGAAGTGCACATGGCTGGCATGATACTGATCTGGCTCGATGGTATCTTTCTCCACAATGACTTTTTTGATGCCACATGTGTTGTGCCTCAAACTTAAATGGAATGGATTTCCCCAGGAATTCTGCCTTGTACTGAACTATTTTGAAAACTCATGGTATAACCTGCTTTCTCTCAACTTGTCTCATAACCCTGATAGGAGCATAAGGATAGATCACCCTCAATTCGATTAGAACAAGATGAGGAGTATCTCTCGACCTGATGATGAATCCACTTCTAGGGAACCACTCGAACATCCAATGTACCTTGTCATCAATTAGATTGTTGAAGAAGTGTGCCCAACTCACAGTGTTTTCCGGTTGCGCAAACCTATTTGGGAAAAAAGTTATTCTCTTCGGATGGTGATAGGCTATATGGTCATTCCATGGTCGTCGCAGAAATTCTTGATATTCTCCCCTCTAAAGGTGTTCCAACAACCATACTTGTAGCAACAGATTGCAACCCTCGAAAAGCCTATACCCCTTTTTGCAATGATCTAAAGCCCGGTACATATCAACCAGAATCGTAGGGACAATAGTATAAGTCTTCTCCTCAATCCCATCCATTAAAGCCTTAGTGGCCATAGATAGGCGAGTTTGGATCCTTTCTCCTTGTATTGTAAATACCAACATCCCCAAAAAACAGACAATGAACATAAAAACTCGGCGGTGAGTCCAACCCAAAGAAGTGATGGCAAACTTATCATGGTAAAGGCAGTATGACTTGTTGTGCCCATGATGCTCATAGAGGAAATTGAATGGTAGGTAAGAGTTCTTTAGACAGGCTAAATCATCATTTTTCCTAAAACCCATCATTTTCAAAAACCTTTAGGAGTGCGATTTTTCGTTACCAACAAACCAGGGCTATCCCATGGGAGCCCGGGGAAACTTCCTATTTCCTCTAAAAGAGGAGTCATTTCTATATAACCAAAATGGAAAGTGGCTCTCTTCTCGTCCCAAAACATGGTGGCGGCTTCAATTAATGAATTGTTTGGCTAAATGTCTAACATAGAGGGTAAATTTTTGAGGACTCTTTTCACATGGTTTTTGTCAATTGGTGTGATATTTTCCCACCAATCCAGCAACAAAGGTGGGATATTTTGAACCATGCCGAACCTGGGGACTTCGTGCCTCATTTCTGCAAAATAAGTAGAGTTAGCCTTTTCCCCCTCCATATTTAGCTATTTAAACGTTAATGATCAATATATTCGCATGTTTTCTCCAAATAATGCACAGATTGTGATTGTGCTCATTGGGACTATGGAAATCCCGACAGACTTTGGACAAGGCTTGTCTTTGCGAGTTATTACGCGGACAGGGTTCTAAATCATACTAGGTTCAAACATGATGCATGTACAGTTGATATTAGAGTGTAGTTTCTTGAAGGGTCTAGACCGGTACCCTCAAGCGGACAACTTGGGAAGGAAAGGCTTGGAACCTTTGACTGCACCGCTGATCGACTAGTTTTATTGCAAATAAGACTTTGCAAATTTAAAGGGTGATTTAGGAAGAGCACGGATACTCATAAAGTGCTGCTATGGTATTAATTACTCACGAGTGGAATATGATGTATAACATGCTTTATGCAAATATAAAACAACATGTTGTCAAATACTTTCATGTTAAAAGCAGTAAATATAGTATTGAATGAACGTAAATACAAAAAAAAAACAAGAAGAAGTTAGCTCGAGCAGTGTAGAAATTGTAATAAAGTATATAAGGGAGTGAGGGTGGGAAGAGACATGATGTAGCAATTCTTAAAAAATGTCTATTGAAAAGCGCATGTTATGACCAAATTAAGCAGAAATTTGCATGTGAGTTCGAATAAAGGGAAAACTGGGAAAAGGATGTACAGGTAGCAATAAAAGGGAAATCGGAGTGGGATATTCATGTAACACTAAAGAAAATGAAGATACACTTATCAGGGAAGACTAATTCATATAGACCAAGTTCAATTATGGTAAGAACCTAAAAATCTCCAACAGAGTTGTCATGTTGTCGCGTCCCTTTTTCTCGCGAAATCAGATTTTGACATGTGACAACTCTTTTCATGAAGGGTTTTAAAAGAGAGAGTTCCCACCTAACGGGTTTGAGGTGCGTTAGGGTACCTATGTCATTAGGTGGTTAGTGAATTTGTTAAATACACTGTAGATGCTTCTTCTTGTTCATTCAATATAGAAAAAATAAAGCTCAGCTCTTCTCCTAAACTCTCTCTAAATTCCCTATCACTAATTTCTTCTTCTTAGCTATGAATGATTGAAAAATTCAATATGGTATCAGAGCCATACTAATCGAGTGATTCTAAGGAATTTCTTCACATATTTGAAGACAATTCGAGAGAATCTACTCTAATTTTGAGGTTTTGAACCCTAATTCTGCAATTTTTCAATGGCATTTTCTGAGAATTCGATTGAAAACGAAAATAATGGAAATAATATGAGCATTGGAGCAGTTCCTAGCTCAATTTCTTTGGATCACAATCATCCTCTTTACTTGCATGCGTCTGATGGTCCAGGATCCATGTCAGTGGGACTCATTTTGACAAGTATGGACAATTACGTTTTTTGGGGCCGTGCAATGAAAGTAGCACTGTTAGGTAAGAATAAACTGTATTTGGTTGATGGATCGACATCGAAGGAAGATTTTGGTCCAAGTTTAGGAAGTCAGTGGGATCGATGCAATACAATCGTAACCTCATAGCTGATGAACAATGTAAGCAGGAATAGGTAACAGGAGTATTGTTTTCTTCGAATGCACAAAAGGTATGGGTTGTTTTCAAGGAGAAATTTGACAAAGTAAACTTATCGAGGCTATACTACTTGCACAAGGAAATATTTACCTTAACACTGGGGATTTCATCAGTATCGGCCTATTTTACCAAGCTAAAGGATCTCTGGGCAGAATATGATTTGATACTGCCATCGCCTCCATCAGTTACTGAGTATATTGAGCAACTAGAGTATCAAGAATTGCTGCAATTTTTGATGGGGCTGAATGATAGTTTTGAGCAAGCAAGGAGCCAACTTCTGTTGATGCCAACTTTACCATCCATAGACAAGGCTTATACTATGGTGGTTCAGGAAGAAAGCATGAAATTGATTACTGGTGGTAGCTATGGACATAATGATCCTACTGCCTTGTTTACTGCTCATTCTAGACCAAAAAGGAACTATAGTTTAGAGTGTGATTTCTGTCATTTGAAAGGCCACACTAGAAATAAAAGTTATAAATTGATGAAATGTGAATATTGTAACAAGACATGGCACTTAAAGGAGAATTTTTACAAGATAATTGGATATCCATATGATTTCAAGCAAAAGAAGAAAGCTAATGCAGTCATGATTGATGCAGCTGGACAACAAGGAACGACAGTCTTACCAAGTGTGAACACATTTCAGCCAAGCAACATTGTTGAACTAACTCAATTTTTTACCAAGGAGTAGTGTAATCAGTTGTTGCAGTTGCTGAACAAAGGTTCTACTGCAGGAGCAAGTGCTAATATAGAAGGTAAATGTTTTTGTGGTAATATAGCATTATGTAAGAATTTAGAACTTTTCAAGTGGATAGTAGATATCGGTGTTACTAATCACATGACTGGTGACAAAAATTTGCTGAAAAATAAAACTTCAATAGCAAACTCAGGGCAAGTGCAATTACCTACTGGAGATTCAGTACCAATTTCTCATATGGGAGAGTGTTAGCTCACAGGAAGTGATGTACTAAAAGATGTGTTATGTGTACCAGCTTTTAAGTTCAATCTCAAGTCAGTTTCTAAGGTGACTGAGGATCTCAAATGCAGTGTTACTTTCTTTCCTAAATGTTGTGTGTTTCAAGATCTCTTGTTTGGGAGGGTAAAGGAGATTGGTAGAAAGGAAGAAGGTTTGTACATATTATCAATGGCATTAGGAAAAATAATAAATAGAGCATTTTCAGCAACTAGTAGAGAAGGCATAGAGATATGGCATAAAAGAACAGGACATGTTCCAGTTCAAGCTCTCAGAAAGATTCCTAGTATACAACACTACAGCGATAGATTTGATAATGATTCTCTATCTAAGTGTGAAATTTACCCATTAGCTCGACAGACTAGAGTGCCTTTTCTAACTAGCACTAGCAGAAGTTTACATAGTTTTGATTTGATCCATATGGATGTGTGGGGATCTTATAAGATTTCTATTCACAATGGTATCAAATATTTTCTTACATTGGTTGATGATTTTACCAGATGGACTTGGGTGTTTCTTATAAGACTAAAATCTGATGTTACTTTTTTGCTCAAAAACTTTATTGCTATAATCTAAACACAGTTTGGGAAGCAAATTAAAGTTTTTAGATTAGACAATGGAAGTGAGTTTTTTACAATGCATGTAGCGACCTATTTCAAATGTATGGGATTGTCCATCAAAGCTCATGTCCCCATACTCCCTAAAAGAATGGAGTTGTGTAAAGGAGAAACAGATATATACTGGAAACTGCTCGAGCAATCAGATTTTAAGGGCATTTACCGGTCAGATACTAGGGACATTGCATTGATGCTACTATATATGTTATTAACAGAATTCCTTCTTCTGTTCTAGCACACAAGTCACCATATGAATTGCTTCTGGGTAAGCCACCTTCCTTAACATATTTGAAGGTCATTGGATGTCTATGTTTTGCCATTAATCTGATAGGCCATGATAAGTTTGCACCTAGAGCTGCGAGGTTAGCCCTTCTAGGATATGCTGCACATCTGAAAGGTTATACACTTATGGATATGGAGAATAGAGTATTTTATAAGTAGAGATGTAGTGTTCTATGAGGATATATTTCCTTTTCAGAAAGCAGAAGACTCATTAGAGTCATTATTCTTGGATATAACTCCAGTGCCAAGGCAGGATTTGGATGAAGAACCAAATACAACAGTTAGTTCTGTTGATGCAACCAATGTGCCATGCTCATCTAATATAGCTCCTACTGCACCCAATATCACATGCTCACCTAATGTGACCCCTGCTCTTGTAGATGAACTGAAGATTTCATATCCTATTGAGCATAATAATGTGGAGAGTCCTAGGGATTCTTCTATTTTGCTTAATTCTAAGGGAACAAGGAAGTCAACTAGAGTATCTAACCCCTCATATGGCTTAAGGATTATGTCAGAAATGACAACAGAAGTACTGCAAGCTGCTGTAGATACCCCATCTCAGAAGTGGTTAGATATAAAGTAGTTTCCTCAAAATACCAAAGTTACTTGGCTAATTTTTTAGTTGAGGTAGAACCTACATCATATTCAGAGGCAGTGAAAGACAAACGATGGATAGAAGAAATACAGGCAGAAATCAAAGCACTAGAGGATAACAAGACTTGGGAATTAGTATCTTTGCCACAACTACAGAAGGCAATAGGATGCAAATGGGTCTATAAAATCAAATATAAAGCATTAGGAGAAGTTGAAAGATTCAAAGCTCTTTTGGTAGCTAAAGGATATATTCAGAGAGAATGTTTGGACTATCAAGAAACATTTTCACCTGTAGTAAAAATAGTTACTGTTAGAAGTGTGTTATCTATTGCAGCATCAAGACAATGGTCTATTCATCAAATGGATGTATATAATGCTTTTTTGCAAGAGGATCTATCTGATGAGATGTATATGGAAATACTTCAAGGCTTCAATGGATTAAAATATAAGTTCAAAGTTTGCAAACTGCTTAAGTCTTTCTATGGACTTAAGCAGGCATCCAGACAATGGAACCTGAAGCAAATATCAGCCTTATTGGATGCTGGTTTTTAGTAGTCATTTGGATTATTCCCTATTCATTAAGAGAGCAGCATATCACATGGTGGTTGTTCTAGTCTATATAGATGAACTTCTAATCACTGGTGATAGTACTATCATGATCAAATAGACTAAGGATAATTTGAAAGAATCATTCAAGATCAAGGACCTAGGGGAGCTTAAGTACTTCCTAGGCATAGAGTTTGCAAGAAACAGTGATGGTATACTGATGCACCAATGCAAATATGCCCTAGAACTCGTCGTTGAGTTGGGGCTCTCAGGTTCCAAGCCTGTATCATGTCCTATAGAGCCTAATGTGAGGCTTGCAACTAGTGAATTTGACACTCATATAGGTTCATTTGATGACACATTACTGACTGATCTAGGACCATATCAGAGACTCTTAGGAAAGCTTCTTTACTTAACTGTCACAAGACCAGAAATTTCCTTTACTGTTCAGAGTTTAAGTCAATTCATGCATAGTCCTAAGGTGTCTAATATGGAAACTGCACTCAAGGTGGTTAGGTATATTAAGAATAGTCCTGGATTAGGAGTTTTCTTGTCTGCTCATTTTTCTGAATCATTATTAGCATTTTGTCATGCAGACTGGGCTGCTTGCCCTAATACACGCAAGTCAGTTGCAGGTTACTTTGTTAAGTTTGGTTCTTCCTTGATCTCTTGGAAGTCTAAAAGACAATCTACCATTTCCAGAAGTTCAGCTGAAGCAGAATATCACAGCCTAGCTTCCACAGTTGCGGAGATTGTCTGGATTCTTGGTTTGCTCAAGGAGTTGGGAGTGCAACATAATTCTTCTGTGCCTATATACAGTGACACTAAATCAGCTCTTGCTATTGCTTCCAATCTTGTCTTTCCCGAACGAATAAAGCACATTGATATTGATTGTCATTTAATCCGTGAAAAGATTCAACAAGGCTTGGTTTCAACTCTATATTGCCCTACAGCGGAGCAGGAAGCTGACATACTTACAAAAGGACTTGGTCATATTCAGCACTCATATTTTATGTCCAAGCTAGGACTTCTCCGTATTTTTCCAGGTCCTAGCTTGAGGGGGGTGTAAAGGATGTAGGTTAGCCATAGTTATTTAATTACAATTAGCTAAGCTAACTACAGTTAGTGTATTAGTTAATGTGTTAGCTAGTGGTAGATTACAGCTATCATTAGGTGGTTAGTAAGTTAGTTAAATACACTGTAGATGCTTCTTCTTGTTCATTCAATATAGAAAACATAGAGCTCAACTCTTCTCCTAAACTCTCTCTATAGCTGTGAATGATTGATAAATTTAACAGATCAAAGATAAAAAAAACAAGGAATTTGGGAAGTTCATTATTAAACACAAATAATTAATTTAAAGACAAGGTAGGGGGTCCTAATTTTTTTATCCTAAGGATCACCCCGTGCAATATAAATAATACTTTATAATTCCCTCAAGATATAATTCCCTCAAGATGGGGTGTTACTCATATTATTCAGCGGACATAGACTATCATCTCCTGCTACCTGATTATTATCTTTAAGTTGTTACCTAAAGAGCACTAGTTGGTTTTAAACCATGCCTTATGCGTGCACTACCCATTCCAGGCCTATGGTCCAGGAGGCTTTGGACCTCTATTTAGGCATTTCTAGACTTCAACTTAGGCTGTACAAAATAATAAAATTAATCGACATGCAAAACAGGTTGGACTTCATATAAAGCAGTTAAGGGCTCAAGTTAGCCTCCATACTTTGACAACAAATGCACACATTGAGCATGTGACAGTTGCAGATTTTAGACTAATCAAAGTTGTTGAATTCTTTATGCACGAGCTCTATGTGATTCGGGAGTTTAATACATGCAGCAGTTTCATATGTAAAATGTAATTTTATAGACGTGATTTCTAAACAGGTGCACAGTTTAGGGAATCTGATATTGCATATTCATTATTGAGACCACATGTTATAAGTTATTGATCCTATAGACATAATTGCTAAATGATTCTGGATTACAGCATTATAAAGGTAACGTTGTAATTTTGACATATTAGGTATACAACATTAATAGAATACCCTATAGGTAGGGTTTCTAGCAATTGACAATTGTACTTGATTTTATAAAATTTTATCCTTATAGGCATGCTTTGTAGGCGGGTGATACTATAATGAGAATAACAGAAATGGCATCTAATCGAATTATGCTCCAATAGGCATGATATCTACGTGAACATTGCAAAGAGCAGGTATTTGTGAATCAATGTAATCCTATAGGCATGGTGTCTATGTGATCATACTGCAATCAGAAGATTGATCATTTTATTTCCTATAGGTATAATTTCTAACAGATATGTGGAAGCAGAACACATGAAACAAGTTAAATACCTATAGGCAGTATATATAGCACACACAGTAAGAGAACATGTTCGAGTAAATTAAACACCTATAGGCAGGATTTCTACCCGTTTCATGCAATACTAAAATAAGCTGAGTTTTCTCATTTTACTAATACCCCAATTTTTATACATCATTATTACAGACCCAAATGAATGGCATAAATTAAAGAAATAAGTAACTATAGTGAGCGTATAGCATGCCCAAATATACACTCTAGCTAGGCCAGACCTTCATTCCCATGATTCACAATAGCCCAAAAATTACACCTTCATTGACATAAGGCAGCCAGAAACCAATTGATTCACCCAGTAGGTGGAAAACAGAGTTGAGCATATAGAAACAAGACTCTAGTGTGTCAGAGTTCCCAAGGGCTTCATGTACCCAGGGCAGTGCTCGCACTAGGGAGGCTGACAGAAGCAATTCAGAGAATAACTAGGGATCAAGTCCTAATGTGTCATAGTTCACAAGGGTCTCCCATGAACCTCAACCAATGCTCACACTAGAGAGGTCAAAGGGAAGAACCTAAGTAGCCTCGACTTTTAGCCGGCTAAGAATAAGAGCTCTAAGAGACCGGGCAATAAGGGAATAGACTATTTAAGGGATAGCATTGAGGGATACAAACAGATTCAAGTTGAGCACATAGAACAGGTAATAGAACATGCTTATGTTTTAAGAACAGAGTTAACAAAGTTTCAGGAAAACAATTCAACACATAATGCATATATTAACAAGACAGGTTTGCAAGATTGATGTACACAGACTCATAGTAAGAAAACGGTTCAGATTACTCTAAGTGTAGATACTAGTGTCACGAGAAAGGATTATATCAATTGGCAACAGAACTTAACAGGATGAGAACAAACTAAGGCAACTATTGGGAACACATGGTAGAAGCATACAGGATCAAACATGTTGCATATGATCATAGCAAGTTCAGAAACAAACTTATGTTAGATACTTGGTGAATACATGTTACACTCCGTAAGTTTAACAACCTTGATATATATATATATATATAT